ACAAGCAATGGCCTTTCTACAGATAAGGTCGGGGCGTTTTCCTTTCTCCCTTTTTTAATTTTTCCTTCCTTTCTTGCTGGTCTAGAATGATATATAACGTCAATAGCAGGAGATAAAACATTGTGTTTTCTAATCAATGGACCTTCATTGGAACTCACTAGGGACTAGTCCATGATGGGATGAGAAAATTCTCTTGTGGGATGAAGCACTATGTATGAAGCTTATATGGCCACGTCGTGAGGAACTTGCTTGATGTAGTTTTAATGGCTAAAAAGACTGATCTTATCACAAATAAAATCACTCTTTTTGGTGTCACCTTTTTGCTTTGATTTTGCAAGTCCAGAGAGGCACATCCCCACGGAGGTGTCCAACGCTTCTGATTTTTCTGTTGTGTGATTGTGATTGCAGTCTCTCGTTCATGCATTTGTTTGTCCAAGCACTATGCATTCACAGTAGCAGTCCTGTCTTCTTCCTAGGGGATCATTGGATCAGTTCTGATAAGCCCTCAAGTCTCGCTCCATTAATGGAATTTTGCGACACAGAATGAGGATGGGAGACAGATCTAAGATTAGTGTCCAATGTGTGCTTCGTCAATTGGGACACTGGGGACCAAACCTGTCGTCCATCCTCTATTGTCAAACTCTGTTTTGAAACTTCAGTTTTTCTTTTACTTTGGAAATTTTATTGCTGGAAAAAAGTTAATAATAGGTAAAAGAATTAAAGAACAGATACTGGAAAAGTGCTAGCTAGATCTACGAGTAAATGCACAAAGGATCTGATCCAAAATAATTTTGACAAGATTTGAGATAATCTATTCATTCTGAGAATAGATTCTAACATTTGCATTGTCATGAATTTGCATTAGTAGCAACAAATACATCAACGTATCACAGATGGATAGAGATCTGAAAATCATAAAACACAACAAATCTGAATAAGTCGCTAACAGTATAAAATATAGGATTCGAAACACAAACAATCGTGGCTTTATAGTATCGGCCAAATTACAACAGTTACATAAACCATGCTGTCAGAAGACTTCGAAAATGAGGTCTATATTTACAGATTTTATAGTATAATGCATCTAGACAACGAAGAATGACAATATAATGAATCTAAACAGCATTCTATATAAGGTAAACGATCTAATTCATCCTAAATGATTGCGTACATGCACATGTACATTAACGCATGCAATACAGAAGATGAAGCAAGTGTTTGGTTTCTACAGCGGTAGTATCCAATGGGAAAGAATCAATTTGATGAAATCTGCTCATCCCAGCGCGGCTATACTTCCCTTGATGTGGTTCATTATTTTGTGATCTAAAATGGATCCTAATAGTCCCACAACTCTAACAGCTTTCCATGGAAGTTACGGTGAAAAGGGCTTTTAGGACCTGAAACTTTAGTGTGCAGATGGGACTGATTGGACAACCATGACCATAGGTTGAGCCTTTATTTGTGTGGTGCGCGCATAGTAACAGAGAGCAGCAAAACATGTTAACATGGATCGCTATTAGAATTGGCTAGTCATCAGCTAAGATTGGACGAAGACAGTTGCAGGAGAGACGACAAGTGGGAACCATCTGATGTTTTAACGCCCATGGGGAAGACAAGTTTCATCTTAGAGTAGGCCAAATTCATCTGGCCCGAATCAAAAACAAAGGACATGTTTTTATTCGAAGTGGGCTTTCAAGAAGCTCAGACATGAGGCAAATGGATTTCTTACCTGGTTAAAATCCAGCTTCTTCTTCTCTTCTTCTATTTGGCATTGCCAATATCCTCCAATCGATCGAGATGTACTTCTCCCTCATCGTTATCCCTACTAAAGCCAAGCGCTCTTATGATTACAAGATCAACCTGTCAATCATCACTTAAAGTGGATATGATTCTGCTGTTTCCTTTTGATTGGTAACAAGTTTCACACTTGGATTTTTCATCTGCAAAATTTTCAGACTCTTCTTTGTAACTGACTTTTCCTGGCGTTAATTATACCTATAGATCATTATGTATATAACATATATGATTTTAATTGGTCAAAGAATTTTTCAAGAAATTTTTACGTAAGGTACATCATATAGCGTACTTGTGTCTCACAATCATTAGTATTCAAGACCAAACAGGAAATGATGCATGCACCTACATATTTTTTTCCCTATCTAATTTTGATATTTAGATCTCATGAGGCGAGGCGAGGCGAGGCTCGAGAGGAAAGGATAGCATAAGTTGTAATGTCACTCTTCTATTAATTAAACAACAAAAGATGTCAAGATTTATCCATATTTCATTTTGTTTATCATGTAAAAATCCCCATACAAAGCCAAGTAATGGGCTATTTCATTGCACTGCAATTCATCACCCAACTACTATTTCATATTTTCATTTGCAAACAGACCCGTACAATAACTCTTCAAAAGCAATAATTAGAAGATCCCCTACCAAACATGTTAAGTGACTTGAGCCCTCAATTGGCCGACAATGCTAAGGACGAACCCTGTGGAAAACATGTCAGATTATTACCAAAATTTATCACGGAACTGACTCAGAAGTAAACGTTTGGGACCATAGTCCTAGAAATGAAAGTCCCCAATGGTAGAATTTGGTACTGGGCCGGGGGATAATACCAAGATGGTAACAAATTTTCGTCAGACGATTGTGACACCTCCAAATGGAAGCCAGAAGCTGCCATGATGCAAGACGATCCATGAACATGCACAAGTTGGTCATATAAGAGGGCAGAAATTTGGGAACTTGAGAAAGGGACAATCAAACCTTCATACTATATAGCATTTTGGTTTGGTCCAAAAATTGACAGTGCAGCAGTCACAAAATGCACTGTCCTCATCGTATAACTGTTAGCACAGCATTCACAATCTTCATGATGATATGCAGCGAAAGCAAGCTTAGAGTTTACATCATCCATAATCCATGCCACATGTATCAATTGGCATATGCCACTACACGTGTGGCCACTGACAAGATTTCTATCTACAAATACAGCCACTTGCGCAGCATCAATGATCGAACTTTGATTCCTGATGGGCCAAAGTTGTTGATTGGCAATTCGCTCTTTCTTAAAAGAAAATTGAAAAGCAGATGTTGAATAGTAGTATTCAGTAATGACTAGAGATCTCATTTTGAGGTTGAACAACGAAGATTGTGGATGCATCACATTAGTCCTGCACGTAGCACTAGAAATCTCACGAGTGGGGTAAAACACTGACTTTTGGTTTGGCCTGGCCTCCGCTCTTCATGGGGGTAAAATTTGGAATGCCACACTTGTTGTCCTACAATGTTAAATTTTATCTCGTGCAAGGGGTCCCCTGAATAATGTATATCAAGTACTTGAAATTTATGATAATGAGATGCGTCAGTTTTTCCTTTCTGATCGATTGGTCTTTTCGATCAGATGGAGGCCAGACGGCCACAAAATCTGCTAATTAATAACAGAGATTTAATTAAGCGGTTTCCTTGTCTTAGTCGCTTGTGCTTATCTTTGTGGGAGAATGAAATCTGGTTCTTTTGGAAACCTAAACAATCCACTTTTTGAACTTCAGGCTACAAACAATCCGAATCGAGTCTTGATCCAGTTGAGCCGAACCTTCACTTAATTTTATCAAATTTGAATTCGAGCTCGATCTCGACAAGCTCTCAATGTAAAATTCGAACTTGAACTAGATCTCAATTTCGAGTCAAGTTGAGTCCGAGTTCGAGCTTAAAAAAATTTACAAAATATTTTTATTTTTTTAAAAATAAATAAATAGTAATTTATCTATTAAAATATATATATATCGAATCGGTTCACAAGCTAACAAGTTGAGTATATTTAAACTTGAATTTGAACTCGAACTCGACTTGGTCAGTTTGAACTTGACTCGAGTTCGGTTTTGACCAAGATCGACTCGAACTCTGACTCGAACTGTTCACAATCAGCTCTCTAACAGTTCGACTTGTTTGGAACCCTAACTTCTGCGACCAAATTGTGTAACATCAAATAAAGGACTAGAATATTAGTACATTTAATAAAGTTGTAGACCATGGCAACGTACGTTTGCCCTATTCAGTAGTAGTCTAATGCACTCCAAAAGAAATCTCCATTACCATTTTTTTTTTTTCCCTTGAAAACCCAATCTTGAGATCGTTTTTAATACGAATTCCTAATTTCTAATTCGTCAATGGAGCACCAAAATCTTTTTGTCTTTTTTTGAATCGTTAATTTCCCTAAGTGCATGATTAGTCTGTCCTTTCAAGATAAACGATACACGTAATAAACCAAAAGACAGAGTCGTGTCCTATTTGAAGATCCAAGCTGACCAGTCACAAAATCCTTTTTCGAATTCCAGGGAGTTGGGAGAAATCTTCACGTAGTCCTTTGTTTTCATTCAGTGAAGCGATGTCTGAGCATTAACCAAAATTCCATGAGGCATGCATGACAATCTGGGATTTGATGCTTGAGTGCCAACTTAATTTACCATGCATGGATAGCAGTTTATTCAGTACTAGTTTGGAAGGTATAATTAGCTGGCTGGCGCTGTTATATTAACAAGAACTTCTTTTTTTTTTTTTTGTTTTTTCCCGACAAACCCCAGAATTACTATATATATATATAGCCTCTAAAAATGTTAAAGTTCAAGGGTACCTTGTTGACATATTCTTAATTAGACAGATCCGAATCAAGCCTACTCTCTGGTCCTTTCCCATCGTCTTCATTGCGATCCATGTTAAGGAAAGATATATCTTCATATCGAGTGGCTAAAACCACTCGAAAGCTGATGCCCAACATAGAATTTGAGAATCCAAGGTCTGCCCCCCATAATGCACAACACCGACCTCTAATTTTCAAAGCGTGAGAAGGATAAAGAGTTCTTGTTTCATCCGACCCCACTTCCTTTAGATAAAATCAAAGCACAAAAGACCCCATGCATTCAATTATCCTCAAAACACAACATCAAAATTGTTACTAGAAAAATATTTTATGATTTGCCATCATTCTTTATTATTGTAAAACACTTCATATTGTTGTGGACTGCTATAAGAGCGAGCGACCCTATCTACCACCACTCTCCATCATTTCAAACACCTACAACGTCCCTTCTTTCTTTCCTAAAACCTCACAATTCTCCCTCTTTTGAAGCTTCTTATACACATCTCTTCCTATAAGTATACAACTTACTTTACATTTGTTTCCTTGCATTTCAAACGACTTTCCATTTCACTTGCAGTATATGTTTTGAGATATGTCCATTGTAGGACATCCAGCCCCTGATAAGATGCTCACGAAATCCGTTCACAGGAAAAATGATTCCGGCGAGCTTGATGTCTTTGAGGCTGCCAAGTACTTCTCTGCTGCCAATGAAATTTACGCCTACGAAAATGGTGCAGCTTTTGCACAAAAGGGCGTCAGAGATCACCATCATCATCAGGAAAAGCAGGCTTCAAAGGCTGGAAGATTTAGCTTAGACGTGCCAATGAGGAATTCAAATTCAATCCCTTCACAAACTACGGTCATGGAAAAGCAAATGATGATCAAAGAAAAAAAACACAAGCAACCAAGCTCCCCTGGTGGTAAACTTGCTAACTTCTTGAATTCGCTTTTCAGTCAAACATCTTCGAGAAAGAAGAAATCCAAATCCACCACCACTACACAATCTAAAAAGGACGATCAAGATGATCAGAGCCCCGGTTGGAGAAGGAAAAGGAGGAGCAGCATTAGCCATTTTGGAAGCGCGACAAATTCAGTCGATTCAAGGTCTCTGTATTCAACTTCAAGTTCAGGTTTTAGAACACCTCCCCCTTATGCCCACACTCCCACAAAGACGTATAAGGATCTCAGAAGCTATTCAGATCATCAGCAAGTTATCTCCTTCTCCAAACAACCAGGAAATCATGTCAAGTCCAATAATATTGCGGTACAAAATGGTGTTCATGCTGAAAAGAAACAATCCCAGTACAGCATGGACTGTGCCTGGTTGGATGATAAATACAAGCTGGTTGATCACAATCTGCAGAGTTTCAAGAATGCTAACGTGGGATATCCACAGAAAATTGAAGCGAATAATTGGGCTGATCGGTACTTGTCCGAGGAAAAGGGATTCATGAAGTTCAACGATGCTGATGATGGTGCAGATAGTGATTCAAGTTCTGATCTATTCGAATTGCCAAATTATGATTTGGATTTCTATTCCAGTGGTTTACCGGTTTATGAGACAACAAATATGGACAGCATCAAGAGATGTGCACCTATATCTAGTGCAGCAGCAAGATAATTTTATCTCCACTTCTCTCTCTTAATTCATCACAAGCACTTCATTATTGTCGATGTTGAACTTAGAAATTGGTGATGAAGAGAAGATTAATTAAACCCTTCTTTTGGGGGGGTTGAGATCCAGATATGGTTTAAGATTCTCCCTTTTACGTTCTTTTGAATGTTCTGCACAACTTTTTTCTGTATGTACAGTTTGGAATGTTGGTTGGTCTCAACTTTTTTCCCTACTAGTTTTCAAGTAAAGTCATATATAGTGCAAAAACAACAGCATAGTAGCCCTCCACCACTATAATGCTATTCAGCTTGGTGTGTACTCGTGCACTACTAGAGATCCTCTTCCACAGCTCCACTTCCACTAGTGGAAGAACAAAGAATCATCACACCATGTGATAGCTATCCTTTTTTATCTTTTGACTTTGGACATAAGCAAAGAATAGATTTATCACATGATCTCTGTACCTAATATGTAATGCATAAAATCTAGCATGCCATCATATGATTGATTAACAGTAGTCACTAGTACTAGGAAAGTGGAAATTGCCTATCAAGTCCCTTGATTATTTAGGAATTCATCTACGTACTAGCAGTCAGCCACGTATGAATTCGAAAACTTTTCATACATAATGTTGCTTTTGCAACATATATACTGAGGTCTTATTCTTCAGCCAAAAACAAAGCCTCCGCAATTCACTGGCCTTTGTCTGAAGGGCCAGGAAATTGTTTGGATATCAAATTTTTTTCAAACAATATTTCGCTTGTATCATAAATATATTTGTCAATCCACCTTTTTATCTTCTATCCATCATATCACAAAAAGTGCTACAGTAATTATTCTAAATAATATTTCAAACAATACTCTATCCAAACAAACTAGAAATTTCGACCCCCTTCTTTCCCTTAAAAGTCATAACATCCCTAGTTAGATTATAGTCTTGCATAGCCAAAAGAGCGCATTCCCAGAATTTTTCAGTCTTGAACATGATTGGCTTGGATAATATCTACCATACCATTCAAGTGCGTTTCCAAAGAAATCAAGAGAAAAGAAGTATGATTAAGTTTTGTTATTTCCTACTCCTGATCCTAGCTTGGTTGAAGGTTATAATGCATATATATTGAAAGTGGTTTGAACATTTAGCCTTTTTTTTTTCTTTACCCTTTTTGACGCTTAAATTCAACTAAATATGTGATCCTGTTGAAGGATAATGTTGGATTCTATTCCAGAACTAACACCAAATATTGCTTAATTTTTAATGACTAAACTGTATAATATTGAGTTTTAAGGACTAAAGTATGAAATCTTTCAAACCCATGAGAGAAAATCCTTCAAGAATACAAAAGATAATCCAGCAGCATGAGATGGAAATGATTATGGCTTTTTGCATTAGCATTATTGACTTGCATCTTGTTCTGTCGTTCTTAATAATTCGTCGGGTTTAAGCATGCCAGGGACTCATGTATCCTTGAGTGGTGGTCCAAAAAGAGAAAGGTCCATTGTACGGAGGAATTGATTTTTATTTCTCTTCTAATCTTTAGGGTCTGTTTGTTTCGGGTGAAAATGTTTTTCAAAAAAATATTTTCCTAATTTCCCGTGTTTGGTTGCATAAAAGATAATGAAAATAATTTACTATATAAAAGATTTTCACTCATCTTGTGGAAAACAACTTCTCTACCAGACTTACTAAAGTTGTTTTCCTAAATGCACATGCCACGTCTACTAAAGGTATTTGTCAAACTTTCAAAACTTGTAATATGTTCAAAATATAAATAAATAAATAAAAAGGCCTCACCTTGCTCACTCCGATCTCATTGACATCGATGAGTTCGCCTTTGATGCTGACGAATTTGCTGGTGACACCGACACTGTGAATTTGTTAACGATTTGGATTATGGTCAATTCTCATTGTCTTTCTTCAATCATTTTAATTCTCTTTGCAATGTTTTCTTAATCAAAATTACGTATCTTTAGCTCAAACTTGCCTTCATTTTAATGCCTTTGAGATTGTGATTTGATCATTGGTATATGATCTTTAAACCATATTTCATATATGAGTCAATAAGAGCAATAATCATATGAAAAAGAATAGAGCCTATTTCTGCAACTTGAGAAGATATTCATGCCTACTCTTCCACTTCCATTGATTGACCTTAATCACCAGCCATTTCATGGTCTTGATATGTCTAGCTTGGTAATGTCTTTTATGGCGCCAATAGTTATGAGTCAACGAATTGTCCTTATGCTTGACCTGGATTCTTTCATTTTGAGCGGTTCTACTATGTTTAGTGATAGGAACTAGGAAGATCGGTTCCAGTGGTGGAAAAGAAAAATGGGTGGCAGAAGGAGTTGAATTTTGATAATAATAATGCAGTTAAAAATTTCAACCAAACATCAGAAAATATTGAAAAAGGTGAATATTTCCTGAAAAAGAACTTCCGTGAAAAATATTTTCTTAAGGAAAATACTTTACATCCTACCAAACAGAGCCTTAGTGATAACCCTTATCCAGAGAAAATCCAAAGTATATAATTAGGTGGTTGATTCACTAAGACATACTTTAGTCTAACAAAACAACTAAAGAATGCAAGTGTTACCTAATTAGAGTGGCTTAATATTAGAGCCAAAGTACCTAGTCCTAATATTAATTAGAGTTAATTTACTGTTAAGTGAGGTCCAAATCTGATGACAGGTATATTTGTGGTGGTAACAAAAAGGTAAATCTAAGGTAATCATTATCAATGTCAAGAGGATCTAAAACACTAGCGTGTACCCAGACAGATTTCAAAGGACACTTCGATGTTTCAAAGGTTGGAATGAGACTGACAGTTTTTTTTTTTTTTTTTTTTGGTGGCAAGTTCTGTACCTTTATTGATCAACCAATGAAGCGTGAGATTGACAGGTAGTTTCTAGTTATGAACATTTGTATACACATCTGATTTCTAAAAATTCATCATTTGATGGTCTATTCCAAGGCACAAATATTTAAACCATGTCATTCTATTTTCATTGTAAAGAGTGGTATCTGCTTAAGAGAGTATGATGCACTAGATGCAAAACTACATAACGATCACAAGTTCTCAATGAGAAGAAATTCTCTAGCATACATACTGATATATTCTCTTACTTTTATCAACATCTTCACTCTTCGAGTCTTGACATGAATCTTTTCCACCCTCTTTGTAGCATACATTGACATTGTATAATTTTTTTTTAATCAATCGTCATATTCTACGCCTACTCCTACTCTAACTTATATTAAGGGATAATTCAATTGGACCAAGAGGATTAGAGGGAGAGTATCCGATCTTAGACTAAAGGGATGTATTATTGCACACGTTTTGAATTTAACTGCACGTGAAGAGATTTGAACCTAAGAAGTTCTACAATAGAACTACTTGTAACAATGGAAATGAAGAGTATAACAATACTTGTAGAAGGCATTTATATGGCTACATAAGCATATTGGCATGACAAAGAAACCAAATAAGGTCTAGTGATGCGCCCTTTTCCGTAGCAATCTTGGAGTTGGAGGACTTGATAATGAAAATAAATGAGTGATGGGGGGCACCAAAATGGGGGCCGGATGAGCATGCATATCAGCTTTGGAACCACCCGAGTGGGTGGAGGGTCCAAGCGTGTTTCAACTTCAAGTTCAAAAGAGAAAATTCCACACACACACACACGCACATCAGATCGGACTAGAGAGACGAATGTAACCCAACCCAGAAATTAAAGAATTAAAAAAAAAAAAAAACCAGGAACCTTTAAGATTGTTTGGGCTGGCTGGCACCGACAGCTAAGTTAAACTAACTATTGCAAAATATTGTGCAATTAGAAATTTAACTTCTTTTTTTTTTTTTGGGAGGGCGATAAGTCTAGCTGCAAAGTCCATGAGGCTGGCTCTTGTGGATTGAAATGATCAGTGTCCATGTTGGTCAGATCTGGCAGCCATGTTGGATGGACATGACAAGTTTTGACCACCATTTTTTGGCCCATAATATTGACAGGTAAGCATATGGAGACCATCGCCATATTTTGGCCCATGATGTTGATTAATATAAACATGGACTTTGTAATCGTTTTGGGTAACTTAGATGAACTATAGGCTAATTCAAAGTTCCCCGGGAAGAGGGAGAAGGGGAGGGTGGAACTATAAATATTCAAGAAGAACTTACAATTTATTTGTGTTCTTAGTAGTTATTTAAAATGTTGCCTTCTTAGATGAGAGAATATACATGATATTTGCACTAAACTGCGTTGCGGAAGCAGCGTTTCAAATCTACTTTTTTTTTTTTTTTTTGGGTTCAAAATTGTTCTTTTGAATTAGGTCCCAAAGAAGAAGAAGAAAAAGAAAGAGAAGAAGGGGTATGAATTTTAGAATTTATAAAAGAAATATATCAACTTAGAATCAGAATCATCATAGAATTCATCAAAAAGGGAAGAAAAACAAAACTTCATAGACAACTAAGTTTGAGTTGTTTGAGGATTAGATACACCTAATTACTAGGTTTTAGCAATTTGTTACACTTAACCCTGCATAAAAAGAAGAAGAAGAAGAAGAAAGAGGAGGAGGAATTTTAGAATTTACGAAAAGAATATATCAACTTAGAATCATCATAAAATTCATCAAAAAGAAAAAAAAAAAAAACTTCATAGACAACTAAGTTTGAGTTGTTTGGGGATTAGATACACCTAATTACTAGGCTTTAGCAATTTGTTGCACTTAACCCTGCATAAACAAGAAGAAGAAGAAGAAGAAGAAAAAGAAGAAGAAGAAAGAGGAGGAGGAATTTTAGAATTTACGAAAGGAATATTTCAACTTAGAATCATTATAGAATTCATCAAAAAGAGAAAAAAAAAAAAAGAAAAAACTTCATAGGCACCTAAGTTTGAGTTGTTTGAGGATTAGATACACCTAATTACTAGAGGTTTTTAGCAATTTGTTACACGTAACCCTGCATAAACAAAAACTTCTTGGGTTTGGTAGCGGCTTAGTGCCCACTAGTCTTTTATTATGCAAATGTAAATGGAGGGTTCAGTGCACAACAATTGCTTATTTGCACCAATACCAGCTTGCCTCGGTCTCTTAGGATTAAATGGGCCATTTTTTTGGTCTATGGCATGGTTCATAAATCATAACTCCTTCAGAAACATAAAAAAGTAGTATGCCTAATTGTGGTTGATCGTTGACCATCTAGTTTCACGCTTTAGACCTTTAGTAATCAAAAAAAGGGGAATCAAGAAATTGAAAGAGAGATGATGTGCAGTTTCAACTACCAAATCCTTCATTTCCCCACAATATAGATTATAGAGGGACCAAATAGACCAACACAAACCCAAAAAAAAAAAAGGATAAAAATAAAAATAACAAATTAGAAGAGTTGTTCTTTACCCTCCCCACATCTTTCAATGGTGACCACAAATTTTACACATTTGTATGATGTCAATCAACTTTTGTCTTTTAAAAAATGTGAAAAGCACTTAAATTCTATGGCTTTGCTTCGTTTTGATTGAGGAATTTGACAAAAAAAAAATTTGAAATTCATTTAAATCGTCTACTTATTTGAATTCCTTAATATGCATTTGGGGTTTGTAATACATCAATTATTAAAATATATTTAAATGCTAAAATAATTAATAATTTACAAATTCAAATACAAACAACAAAAGAAATTTGAGAGAATTTCAGAATCTTTGTCAGCTCTCTCACACCAAATGCTATCTACTTAACAAAAAAATTTTTTTTTGGCACCAGCCAATCTTAATGCTTGTTTGGATACAAGTTTTATTTGATAAAAAAAATTTGCTTGCACCGTAGACACATTATAGACATGTTTTTGTACTATCAAGTTTCAACCTTATCTCGTATTATGTATCACATCATAAAAAATATTATAATATTATTTTAAATAATATTTTTTAATCACGTATTCAAACACAACCATTGAGTCATTAACTATTGCAAGAAAAAAGAAAAACAAAAAAAAAAAGTGTGATATATTAAAAAAAAATATGTATTGGAATGAGATATCGATAGTTGATGTTCCTTTTGTCGTCCAAAAGGGGAAGGCAGTGGGAATGATTACTGAAGTTGACTCGCATCGCTCCTGTTTCTTCCGGAAACCCCGATACTAGCAGCACTACTCCGTAGAATACAGCTCTGATCATCCATTTCCCAATTATTTTTCTTCTATTTTCTTGCTATCTTTGCTGCTACTCGACGAGGTACAATACTTAAATTCTCCATCACTAAAGCTGCTATCTTTATGATATTAATTTGTTTGTGTTTTACCTAATTTTGTCAACTGGGCTTTCTTTCTTTTTGTTTTTCCCCACCTTTTCTTGCTTGATTCTTGATTTTTCTGTAGTTTCTGCTGATTGATTGGTTACGGCTATGTCTAATAGTGGAAGAACTTGATTATGTAGGATGGTTTTGTAATTTCTGCTGCTCCTCCTGCGATTTCCGGTAATCTAATTGAGCAAAATGTTTCACTTGTTCTGGGATTCTTTTAGTAGGCTAATTGAGCAAAAAGGTTCTCTAAATTTGGAATTTTAGATTGTTTACTGGGCATATTAGTTTGTGATTATGGACTGCCAACAGAGTTTAATACTGTTCTCTTTGGTAAACTCTATTCTTGTCGTGTAATTTGCCTGTGTTCAAGGGTGGCTGCAAAAATCTTGCTTTTTTTTCCCTTTATTTTGGTCTCAAGAAACCAAGGCTGGACTTTGCTTTCTATTAGTGTGTTGATAAATTTGATATGGTTTGGTGTGTAGGGCATTTGGTCTATTACCAAGATGGAGTCTTTAAGCTATTATTTGGAGCCTAGGGGTCCTCCTATTTCAGAAGATATTGGGTTACCGGTTGATCTTCTTGCAAGGAATAAGAATCATGTAAAGGATTGGGATCATAAAGCACTTTCTGATTTTTATAAGAACATGCCGAGTTTTGATAGAGAAACAGTTGACAACATGGAAGTTTTGGAGACAGACTTCTCTAATAGAACAGAAAAATTGCTTTTTGCTAATCCTGGTCTGGGATCTTCTACTGATAAGACTAATGATGACTCTACCAATGTGATAGCATCTACCTCTATGGTTAATTTTGATCCATTCCTTTGGGAGGGATGTGCTTCAAAAATTTCTGCAGCTGCTGCTGAGACTCGTACTCAGAAAGAGTCAAAATTTGATCCAAAGTTGGAGAGACAAACAGATTCCAGAGAAGCTGATAGTTTATCTTGTTCAAAAGAAAATTTGGTTTCATCATTGGTGGAAGATTCGTTGCCAGCTAAAAGAGCTCGGACCACTAATTTGCATTCTCAGTTTCCTGTATGCCAAGTGCATGGCTGTAACAAGGACCTCAGTTCCTCAAAGGACTACCACAAAAGGCATCGAGTATGCGATGTTCACACAAAGACTGCTAAAGTTATTATAAATGGCATTGAAAAAAGATTCTGTCAGCAATGCAGTAGGTAACATTGAAGCCTCTGGCCTTTGTCTTGTTCATGTTGTTGCTATTCTTGATGAATTAAATTGCATTAAACCTGATACTTGTCCTTTCATTTCTGGGATTATTAGATAATTAGCTAGAGAACTGTTGCATTTCCAATTGATTTTAGTGAATATATGGTTTTAAGTTAGTAGTTTATGATGATCACGTCTTCCATTCTGACCATCCTGATGATGGGGCAAATGCAGCGTAGTCAGAGTTGCCCCAAACATTTGACTTTGTTGTCCCGTGTTCTAAAATTCAGTCTTTAATGACAAAAAATAATAGCAGATACATGATTGAAAAAGATATGGCATGCTAATGTAGATTGAAGAAATTGCTCTTATTCTTACTTTGTTGATTAACCTATTGGCAGTTTCATGGCTAGTATGCTTTTATTGTAGTTGACTATAGTTTTGGCTATATAGCTGATTAGGCTCATAGTAACCTTTTGGTTGTCCAGGTTCCATTTGCTTACAGAATTTGATGATGGTAAACGTAGTTGTCGGAAACGTCTGGCAGGCCACAATGAAAGAAGAAGAAAGCCTCAACTGGGTGCTCACTTAGGTAATCCACTGATAATTCTTGAGTAACAGTGAATCTTATTTATTCTCTCCTCTCCGATACGTTAATGATTGGAAGTTCATTTCATACTCCTATCATTTTCTTAAAAAATTAATTGGTTCTTTTCTCTCTTTGCCAAACTATATTGGCTACATTTATGCATTATTAACACTGTTTGGATACTTAGAGCTCATTGGGATGCTGAATCTTTGATACCAAGTATCAATGCCCCATCTGGAGAGTTTCTAAGAAGAATATCTCAAGGACATCTTTTAGGGAAAAAATTCATTAATGCTTGGTGACACTTAAGGTCTCATGTGTTGAAAAATGAGAAAAGTCTGTAAGAGTAATGTGGAGAATGATTTCTGCTTATAATTTTCATTGAGATAGAGGAGACCCCGGGGTTGGGGGGGCAATGCAAGCGAGGTGGGGTATCAAAGAGGTTGATTTTTGATTATCTGTAGCTTGTCAAATCTTCATACAGGTAAGAAAGCACCATGATGTTCGTAAATAATATGCCTTTCCTTAGTCCTGTTTCTGTAAGCAAGGGGTCCAGGTTTCCCTTTCTCAACAGTAAGTGTATCTCAGAACATGGAGGGTGAGAGAGAGTAGGGGATAGGACAACATATTCTCCACCATGCCCATTTTCCATGCATTTAGGTGCAAGGTTTTAACCTTAATATAATGAACAGTGGAAAGTGTATAAATCACAACTATGCTAGTAGAATGGAAGTGCCTAAAGTTTTCTGAGAAAAATTTTGTCTAGGAACGACTTCAATTTTTGTGTTATAGTTGAGCGGGATTTATGTCATATTTGTCAATTATTTAGCTCTTTCATGTCAAGCAGTTTTATGTACCATTTGAATTGATTGTCAACTGAACTTCTGGCATTCAATGAAGATCATTTTTGCATTTGACAGGTTCTGAGTTCTTGGAGATGACTTTACTTAAGAGAACATCATTCCTTTCTCCAGAGACATTTCCTGCTGGCTTCTTTTATCAGGAAAGATTCGAGAAAGATAATCATGGCAGGCACTTCAAATATGTAGAGTTACCAATTGACAACTCTCAGTCAGCTGTTGCCCTGATGAATGGTCAGTCTGGTCGTGTACCAATTGCAGATCCACACATCATCCAGAAACAACAGTCTCCTGGAACATGTATTGATACAGCAGTAGCAGTTGAATTGTCTGTGATCCGAGACTCCAGTAGTGCTCTCTCTCTTCTGTCAACTCAATCACAGAATACATCTAGTGGTGCAGCAGGCATTTCTATGGCTCTACCTCCAGTAAATGGAGTAAGACACCATGCTTACGAGTCAACAAAGCAAAATTCTGCGAAGAATCTAGGAATTAATACTGCAAAAGGCTCTGCAAGTAGTGGCTATTCATGTGGGACGATCGATGAGGAAGGAATGGTAAGGGTTCGTGATGGCAGCATGCCTGTTTCCTTCAGAGTCCAGAGAGAAGGAACTTTTCAAGTATCAGATTATAGGCATGCCAACTGTAGTCCTTCTCTTGAAGTTGGGACTCTTGATCTGCTACAATTGTCTACACATTTGAAAAGAGTGGAGCAGCAGAGGAATTTTTTGCAAGTGGAGGAGGAAAACGAGACTTTCTGCTGCTCTTCTAATTTGTAAAGGGTATTGCTTACTCAAGCTGTGAATATGTATGTGTAGTGGATGATCTGCATGTGTGTGTCTCTGCATTTGGTTGTAAAGAAGAGAAGGTGATGACCTGAATATTGAACTTCTACCAGTTTCCTAGTTGCTAAAAGAAATGATTAAAATGTGATAGGGGATATCAAGATAGGGGAAAAGGAGCAAAGGGGCAAGTTCAGCTCAAATTTTCATGGCCTTCAAAAACCATTGAACTGTCTCAAAATTTCTGTGCATTTAAGTATGTTCAGCTTAGTTCATAGGATGTGCGATTTTAGGATTAGTTCATAGTAGTTCTTGAATATGTTGTCATCATTGCAAATTTGTTGTTAATGGTAATGTATAATAATGTCTTTGCTGCCAAGAGGGCAAGTTTTTTGTTTTTTGTTTTTTTTTAAATTATAGTATAAGTGGAATGAATTCGAAATCTTTCATTTATACTCTCTCCCTGACCACGCAACCTGTCCTTCCCCCTCCGGAAATTTTCTCCCATATTGCAACGCGAATTAGAACCAACTACGATCGCCAACTGCACATCCATCCATTTTTTTCATCAGAGAAATAACCCTTTCCTCCGGCAGCCCCACCACCCAACTCCACCGATCTCTTTCTCTCACACGCCTTACATGGCTGCAGAAGATTACTGATAGGATTCATAGTGGAGGAAAATTGGTTGGGACTTGGGGAGGAGAGGAGGAGAGAGAAAACCACTGGGCCAATGGCTCAGTGGCTACTAGAGAGGGGCTTAAGTCCCTCCTTGGACTGTAGGTGAGGGTTCAAACCTTACCTGTAGCGAAAAAAATTTAAGGATTGTGCCAGAGCACTCCCTTGGTCTAGTTGGGTCTGTATACCTACTAGCCCCTTACCACAGCCTCCTTAGGCTCCCCCTCTCCCCTAAATTAGGATAGAACAGGTTATATAAATGTATCGTTGCTGATAAAAAAAAAAAAAAAAAGAGAGAGGAGGAGAGAGAAAATGATGTTCCATCAATTAGATACCTACAATTTTGAGCAGACCAGACAATAATCTACATCGCGATGAATAGAGGAATGCAGACCAGACAATAATCTACATGGTGATGAACAGAGGAATTGCTAATTTTTGCTTCACTGGTTTGAATCCTCGTAATTGCTCAAATCTTTGAATCAACTTTGGCAGCATATTCTTGCAAGGAAAATTGCTTTTCAGTTCATTGGTTGTTTTGGAAAAGCATGATTTTTAAGGTACTTTTAAAGGTTAAACAAACATCATCAAAAAATCATGAACAACAACAAAATATTTGAAATGGAAAATTGCATTCGCAGAAAAACATTTTACTTTGAAACAAACAGTCCCTAAGTCGTTGCAAAATATTACTCATTTGATCTTTCTTTAATTTCTTTTTAAATGCTTTTTTCATGTAATTTTTGAGTAAGGAATTCTGTCATAATTTACAAATGTACTTGTACAATATACGGTCTATTCAATTGCCATAATAAATTACTTGCATCACCATATATCGTACACTTCTAGTTTTATTATATCACCATACATCATAATTATAGGTGGCAAATAAACCCATTTAACTAAATTTACCCATACCCGCCCATAAATAGATGGATATGAATATCTTAATTTTTGCATATGGGTATAAATAGATTACCCAATAATAGATAGTATTAGGTAACTCATCAAACATAATTAACCCATTTAGAATTGTCATCCTCCAACCCTCCTCTCTTCCCCACCCATTTTTTTCTTCAAATTATTCATTTTGTCATAATGTTAACTACTTTTATTTCATTATTATTATTATTTGTTTGTTTTATATTTTCTCTTAGTTTGTTAACTTGTTCATTTTTCAGCATTACCAATTTATGACAAGTTTTAGGCTCTTTCCCTACCTTTCCAAAATGAAATTTTAAATTTACACATGAAAAAAATGCTAGGGGTTCAAAATTTTTGAATTAAGTTTTTATGTTAACTTTTATAGTACTTAGTTCAAATTTTTATATTCTTATTGTTCAATTATTAAATAGTATGTAATTTTGCAACATAGAGTACGGATGGAAAAAAATTGATAATTAGGCTAATTGAGCATTATAAGTAAATATTTAAAACTAATAATGGATGCAAAGGGTGGTATATATTGATAACTTAGTTTGCAAAAATGAATTTAAATGAGTTTACAAAAAGTTAAAATAAATGGGTTATAAATGGATAATTGGATTACCCAATTCATTTTTTGATTTATCCATTTATACTCATCTAATTAAATGAGTATAAATGAATTGACTTACTTATACCCATTACCTATTTTAACCAATCAAAACCCGGTCAAGTCACTCATTTTGACACATCTACTCATAATATTGATCGATGACTCTGTAGTTCTTGAATAAACTACGAGCTTTTATATAATATTTTATTTCATTGAATTTTCTTAGTCATATAAGAGGAATTCATCATCAATAGCCTTAAAAGTTACCGGAAATACTATAATGAAATTATGATTTAAACCTGTAAGATTCTAAACTTGCCAAATAACGCCCAAGAAAAAGGATCATCCAATGGGAATAAAGGACGCAGGAAAGATGTAATCCACACACGAGAAAACTTGGATTACTTGATAAGTCTCTCGAACCCTATTTTGGCATATAACAGATATACTTTGTTCACTTCTTCTTTTTGAAAATCATAAATTCAAACTGAGAGATAATTCAAGGAAGAGCAGTGGATACCAAATAGGTGGCTTAAATTACATGCAACAGTACTTGTTCCACAGCACCAAAAATTTGAAATAATACTACCGCAGCATTCAGGAGTTTTCACTAGTGCAGTAGTTGATAAACATATTGTAAACCAGCAAAACCATCATAATCAGAAAATTACTTTGACAAAGAAAGTACTTAAGCTAAACACCCTTGTTGCATTGCATCCATTGGCCAGTCCTCGACGGGCCTCCGATCATCCAATCTTCAAATAGATCCCATGCCATTGCCGAAGCTGCAACTTCTAAGCCTGTACGCGCAAGCCAAAACTCATTTCTGGTAAAATCAAGATTAAAAGTACAGTTCATAATTTTGTTCCACTACGAAATCTTACATGGTTGCTATTGCTGCTCTCGGCAATGGACCCGGTTGGTGCAGTAGGAATGTACCTAGCCCACTATTTTCCAACCAGTGAGATTTTCAATCAAATCTACCATTTTTTGGGGGTAAAAATCTTCAAAAGACAACAAAAATCTTACATTTTTTGCTGCTGCACTGAAAGCCTCTCGATGTGGTATTTCTGGATTCGTAGCTTTAATACGTTGGATCTCCTCCCTTTCACACACACACGAAAGAGAAAAATGGTTTACTAGATTTTTTAGGTTATAGAATTAACAACCTTGAAATATGCAGTAGGAAATGCAAACAAATGTATTAGTAGTGAAAATGAAGAGAAATGTTCTCACTTCATGAACCTATTGTAGGCAGATGGAAGCCTATGCTTCTTCTCAGGGGCTGCAACACAACAAAATACATGTAACGAAAGGTGTAGTGTCTAGTTGCAATATGTACACTGTGGTATTCACAAGGCTTTTTGTATATGCGGGAAAAAGAAAAGATTAAAACAAAAATGAACGAGAGTTTGGCTTACGTTTCACAACAAAGGGTGCTTTGGGGGATGATGGTTCACCGGAGGTTGATGAGGATGATGAAGAAGATTGACCTTTTTTCAAATCACTGAAGAAAGTCTGTTACAAAATATGCAATTAATACACTTAGCAATCTATATATCCACTAACCCTTATGGTAAAATGAGAAGCTATGTGATGACCACAAGCCAAAAGTACTAGTATATGATCAGGCTTTGTATTTGTGGGATAGAGAAACTAAAAAAGCAGTTCAGAAGATAACCTGAATGGTTGGCTGATGTTCAAAACATTGACCTTGCAGTGGAGGGGGAGGCCTGGTGCTAAGAAAGGAGAGGTTGCCGCAGTGCCCGCATTTCACTGTCACAGTATCTAACAACCTTTTGCATGGAATTCCAACCTAGTGATATTCAAGAGGAGTCTAATAAGCTTGAAAGTTAGTAGTACTACTTATTTTGCATATTTATCGGCATATTTTGTCTGGGGTAGTGTTATTGTGTCTCAAGATTTTTCAAAGCGTAGAGACCCTGCTGTCTTGTTTACTCAAAAAAGTGGAAAATGAGATAAAAACTCAACAGTTTTGGCTTTTACAATTTGAAACTTAGCCCTTATTCATTTCGGAAAAATGATATAAGTTCTAGGGTAGAAAGATGATATTATTAGGTATTAGAGAACTTTTTGATCCGTGCGTAAGAAGTACGTGGATCATGAAAGTATTTGGTCTCGGATTCGAGGAAGAATATGCAAGAACAACTCCTGTTTCACGAGCTTTAGATCAGCAGTTATGACAAAAGAAGAAGAAAACTGTTTTCTCACATGCAATCATTGAAGAAAATAGAGTTCGACTTCAACCTAAGCTTGTGGAAAATACTACTACTAGATAACATGCAATCAAATAGGAGTATTTGCAATCATTGAAGTTTCCTCACATTCCATTAATTTCCTACCCTTTCATGGAAGTTCAGAAGCTGATAGATTGGAAAACAATTGTTGTTCATGACTTGATAGGGAAAAGTAATACCACTGATGGAGACAGATGTAATACATGTAACAGTTGCCAAAACACATAGAGATTATAGCAAAATCTACCTAGGACAGTTGGACTAGGTTTGTACAAGTTTCCTATGATAATCAAGGGAGGGAAAAACTGTACAAATCTTGCATGAAACTTTAGTTTACCGCAAGAACAGTGTTGCAGAAGTTGCACCGGACATAGCAAAGATGCTCAGATTGTTGGACCAAATCCATGGTGGCTTTGTCCTCCAAATTCAGTGAAGATGAAGAGGAAGAATGAGAAGACATAGCTAGTATCAAGTTTGATGAAGAGGGCCTCTTTTTTTAAAGATGAAAGTAGAATCTAGGGTTTCAGGTCTAGAATAGCTGGATATATAGGGCTCAAGTATTACTATAGCTTTCAAAAAAATTTACGGTTACTACATTACTGCTCATATTGTACCAACAATCTCAGAAGCTGACAAATTTAATGCATGGCTGGTGAATACTCTTCTAAGAGTTTCTACCTCTGTGATCTACGGGTGAAAAAAAAAAAACCCAAAAACCTGTAATCTACAATGGTAATACGTACGAAATGAAGACTTTGTTGTATTAGTTATTTTCATCATACAAGCTAAGTCCAATTTTGGCGTTTGAAAAGTATCTATCTATCTTTGGATTATACGCAATTATGCACCCTTCCAATGACTTTACTTTTTCTAAAGTTTTCATTTTAAGTGGTATAGCAAAGCTTTCTCCCTTTTTTTTTT